CTTATTCCTTCCTCAAAGAAGTAAGGATATGAAAATCGAAGAAAGGCCTTCACATATCTACTTGCTATTTTCTTCCCTGCAAAAGAACAAAAATAAATAAATAAATAAATAAAAGAAAGAATGTAAAGAAAGAAAGGAGGGAGGAGAAGAACAAAGAAAATAATGCAGAGAAAGAAATGGCTGAATGATAGAAAGAAATGAACGCATATGAAGGAAAACAAATTAAAAAAATGGAAAGAAGGAAGCCTGGAGAAAGAAAAAATATAAAGAAAGAAAAGAAAGGATGTAAAACAAGAAAAATAGAAAGAAAGAATCCCAAAAAAGAAAGAAACAATAAAAGGAGAGAGAGAGAGAACGCAAATAAAAGGAGAGAGAGAGAGAGAGAGAGAACGCAAATAAAAGGAGAGAGAGAGAATAAATAAAAGGAGAGAGAGAACGAAAATAAAAGGAGAGAGAGAGAGAAAAAAAAGGAGAGAGAGAGAGAGAGAATAAATAAAAGAGAGAGAGAGAACGCAAATAAAAAAGAGAGAGAGAGAACGCAAATAAAAGGAGAGAGAGAGAGAACGCAAATAAAAGGAGAGAGAGAGAGAGCGCAAATAAAAGGGAGAGAGAGAGAGAGAGAACGCAAATAAAAGGAGAGAGAGAGAGAGAGATAAAATAAAAAGAGAGAGAGAGAGCGCAAAAAAGGGAGAGAGAGAGAGAGAGAGAGAGAGAACCAAAATAAAAAGAGAGAGAGAGAGAGAGAGAACGCAAATAAAAGGAGAGAGAGAGAGAGAGAACGCAAATAAAAGGAGAGAGAGAGAGAGAGAACGCAAATAAAAGGAGAGAAAGAAAGAATGCAAAAAAAGAAAGAAAAATAGAAAGTAATACAAAAAAGAGAAAAAGAGAAAGAAAGAAGCAATAAAAAAAAGATTCCTGTATTTTTTTTGAGCCACTGAAATTATAATGGAAAAAAGACTGTCATTGAATTTTGCTCCCTTGCAACGTTCATGTATTTTATACAAATGAGGTGCAATTTTTTTTGCACCCACATATTTTGCTTTTATCCACATAAATAAAAGGTGTAGCATAATGGACATCGGCATGAAAAGTGGAATTGGTGAGTTGAGTTCAAATTCCAGACTAATCTGTTATATTCACTTTAATTACTTTTGGAAAGGCATAAAGCCATCTTCCCCAACTTATGGGTTAAATAAGTTTTAACCCATAATATCAAGATCTCTAGTTTTGAGTGACAACCTGTTGAAGGGAATAAAACAGTCCATTAAATCTGTGGAGAAGGAAAAGGGGAAACCCCTCCACATTATTTCACAAGAATGCATAACAAATCACAGAGAATAAGGTAAAGGAATCTGTGGAGAGCCATAATCACTCATGTCCTGAATGAAAAAAGATTACTCTGTATTCCAAAACATGGAAAAGGCAACAGGAAACCACTCTACTGCCTTTCCCAAGAAGTCATAGCAATTCACAGATAATAAAGGAAATGAATCTGTGGGGATCCATCATCTCTTACATCCTCGGTGGAGAAAGACTACTCTGAATCCAAACTGCGGAATAGGCAATGGGAAACCACTATCTTTCTTGAGAAATCATAGCAGTTCACATATAATAAAGAAAAGGAATCTGTGGAGAAGGCAATGGGAAACCACCCAATATCTTTCTCAACAAGTCATGGCAATTCACAGATAATAAAGAAAAGGAATCTGTGGAGACCCATCATCGCTTATGCCCTTGATGTAGTGTAGTAATTTACCCACGCACCCATGGACTCTCCCAGCTATAAATAGGAGCAGGTATTGCCTTTTAGAGAGGGAAGTTTCCAGCAGGAAAATACTCGGACCGAACATTCTTGCTGTAACATCTTCGTTTGTATATGATTGTATTACTGTTTATGTTAATATATTTGTTTAACTCAATTCCTCTCTTTGTGTCTTTATTTTTGGCCCTAACAAGGCCACAACATGTCGAAAGACTACTCTGAATTTCAAACTGCGGAAAAGGGACCAGGAAATCACTACTTTCATAAGAAGTTATGGCAATTCACAGAGGAAAGGAATCCGTGGAGAGGCATTGTAAGTGAGCAAAATAAAGGGATCAGTTCGATATTCCAACCACCTGAAGAAGGCCGGAGTGTACAATGGCCGAAACGCTGTAATAAGTATGGCGACAAAGATGAGATCAATAGTCCGAATAATGTAAATAATATTTCTAGTACATGTATAGAAAGTATAAAACAAAAAATTATGTTTACCTGAAATCTTAATTTCACCACTTAAAAATCTTGGTGACAAGCATCATTACTTGTGTCGGGCATGTACACAAAATTTAGTAAATTTTATATAAAACTACTTTCAGGGTACATGTTATTTATGTAAAACTACTTTCAGGATATAAGCTGTATTATCAAATGTAAAGAGAAATCGTGTTCATACTGGGGTTCAATGACCACGCTGCGCAATTTTATACATGCTATATACAAATTAAATAACCTGTATTAAAAAATGGAAAAAATTCTGAAAACCGAAATGCTTCTGGCCCCATGAAAGTCGGATAAATGATCCTTAACCTGTAGCAGAAAACTGAAATGTTTTAGGACACCTTGCCATTCAGCATTTTCATCAGTTACAATTCAAGGGAGATCACTCAGTAAGTTCTGTATTCATTGGTGAAAATAACCATCAATAATAAGAAGCCAGAATGTATGGTTGTCTGCAAGAAGAACAGACTAAGATGTCAGCTATGAATTGAAGATGTTAGAATCAAGCAAGTACAGACGATGGAAAATATGACACTGAAATCTGAATAGCAAAAGAGGCTTTCCAAAATCTAAACAAAGAAACAGGCAAATTTTGTAAGAGACAAAGGAAAGCTAGCTATGTAACATCAATCACCCAATATGCTGGACAACATCTCACCAGATGAAGAGGAGGCTTGAGGCAACAGAGATATGGTTCTTCAAAAGGATGTCAAGAACACCATAGATTAGACATATGAGTAACAAGAACATGGAAACCACAAGTAGGCTTATAATTAAAATCAGAGAATGTTGAAATTTCTAGAACACATAATGAGGAAAGAAGGCTTGGAGATTTTGACACTCTCAAGACACACTGAAGGAAAGTTTGATTTGGTTGTTTTTGTTTAGTAGTATATCCACCTCTATGGGCTACTCAATGCCAAAATCCAAATAGCTTGTACACAATTTTACGGCTTCAACTGTAGCCAAATTTTAAAAATTTTATTTTACAAAAAAACATTAAGAATATAATTTTATTTATCCGAAAAGTTCAATAAAATCTTATAATTATTTTTAAAGATTTAAAACGTTTTTTTTTCCTGTCGACCAACTTTGTGATTTCATTGCTCAGCCCAGAGTAGGAGTTGCCCAGAGGGAATGGAGAGGAAATGTATTATTTCAATGTCTAATTTCAAACTCAGTGCTTGTGTCTACCTTAAATAATACAAGCACACAACACAGAAATATGAATCTAGAATTTACATACACATATACAACATCACACGCAGGTGAACAGAGAACCAGCTCTTTTATGATAGTGATAGGAGAATAGTCAGAATTTATCTTTTTCTATTCTTTTATGTATAGTAGATAACTGTAGAAAGGGAAAAGCTCAAAATAGCATGCAAAGAGTAAGACCAACTTACCTTCTTCAGCTAACTCCTGGTTGTCAACAAGGCTCAAAGGAATTATGTCATCCGCAACACCAAGTTCTTTACGCCTAGCTTCTTCTTTCTCAATATAGGACCTTAAAAATATAAATTGATAAAAAAAAAATCATATTCATATGATTGATATATATATATATATATATATATATATATCATCTTCAAGAAGTGAGAGCAAGATCTAAAAGGTCAGCCAATCTAACAGTGATCTCATCTCACAATCCTCACACTTGTTCCATATGTGGCCTCCTTTGTAAATCACTAGCAGGTCTTAAATGCAACTTAAGATTATCGCACAAACTTTCATAACTGAATCAATAAGCTGTCAGATCCTCATACGTCGAAACCGACGGGAGAGTCCATTATTATTATATATATATAATATAAAAGTGAACATTGAAGTCAACACTCAGAGGAGACAGGCTGTTTCATGCTAGGTGCAATCGTCAGCCTGCGAATGTTGGGTATTTCCTTGACTATTTATATATATGGGTCAGTGGTGCATTGTGGGTAATTATTCATACAATACAAATTTCAGATTTTAAAACTGCTTTAATATTCTAGATTATTCAAGTAGAATATTCTAGCCTTCCAATAATGTTATCAGTCGTTATTTTTAGCCTAAAAATACAAAGAGAACATACTGTAATTGATATTTGTACAAGAAGGTTTGCATCATGGCAAGAGATAAAGAACTGACAAATTTGCAAAAAGAACTGATTGTTAAGCTCTGGAAAGAAGGTAAACGTTACAGGAAAATCTCAGACATTCTGAATATTCCATTTACTACCATTAGTTCATTCAGTACAAGGTATAAAAAAACCTCAAAACAGCTGAAAACCAAAGAAGAACAGGTGCTCCACTGAAGATCTTTGAGGAAGTTAATGTGTCAAATTAAACAAAATCCAATGGTTACTTGTCAAGAGTTGCAGGATGATTTGCTTTCATCAGGAATCTGTGTCACTAAACGGACAATAAGCAATGAAATTCATAGGAACAATCTAAAATCACGCTCTCCTTGGAAAACACCACTGCTATTGAAAAGACACAGAAATGCCATGTTGAAATTCATTCATGAATATAAGGATAAGGTGAAATTGTATTGGGAAAGTTTATTGTGGACAAACGAAACCAAAATTGAGTTGTTTGGATTTAATTCTAGAAATCATGTATGGAGGAGAGATGGTTATGCCTTCTTATAAAAGAACACAATTCCAACAGTGAAATTTGGTAGGTAATGGCAGCATCATAGTTTGGGGATGTTTTCTACAAAAGGTACTAGCAATATACCAGTAATAGATAGTAGAATGGATGACACAGTATATCAAAATATTTTGGAAGCAAATTTAATGAGTTCAGTTGAAAAACTTCAACTTCCTCCTGATTTGATCTTCCGACAAGATAATAATCCTAAGCACACTGCAAAATTTATGAAGAAACAGCTTGCTGAAAATAATTTAAATATCCTGAAATGGCCAAGTTAGTTCTCACATTTAAACCCAATTGAGAATCTGTGGCATTATTTGAAAATTCAAATCCAATCGAGAGCTCCAGCAAACATCCTGGATCTGAAGACCATATGCAAATAAGAATGGAAGAAAATACAAACTAAAATTTTCAAATCATACAAGAAGAAGATGGTTGCTGTAGAAGAGAATAATGGCTATTCTACAAAGTATTAAATGAAGATTATGTATTCTTTTTTGTATTGTACGAATACTTATTTCCCCCATTAAAATGGATAAATGGGATTTATTTCTATTAAATAATTCTTTTTTGTTTTCTATGCATATTTAGTTATGTATCTGTGTACAGTTAATTATATGAAAAGTATGTTTATTCATTAGTTAGAAATACAATAAATTAAAAATTTGTATGCGTATGAACATTTGTTTCCCCCCACTCTGTGTGTGTGTGCGTATATATATATATATATATATATATATATACATATACATACACACACACACACACACACTACAGTTCAATAGTTTGAGGACATCCCTGGTAACAGCTCTAAAAGATAGTGGATTCTCGGCAACACTTAAAAGCATGACAAAATTCAGATTAGGACAAAATTAAGCCTATTTTAAGCAGGAAATGAAGCTCAGATTTTTTTTAATGAAATTTAGGAAACATTAATAACAGTCATTTCTAATTCTCACCTGATTTTATTTTAAGCATGAAATAAGGTGAAAACTTGAGAATTTGCTAAACAGGACCAAGCTCAGTTAAAATTTGCTAAACAGGACCAGGCTCAGTTAAAATTTAGCATGATGCTTATAAGCATGACAATGTTGAGATTTAGTCCAAAACTTAAGCTTATTTTGAGCAGGAAGCAGGGTTCAGATTACTTTTCCTTAATTTATACACATAACTGAAATTTTTGACCCCTAAGTGTAAAGTATAAATTGGAAGGACTTGTTAGATAATGGGAGACTTCGAAAGTTACCTCGTCTAGTGTTATATAAACAACTGAGTGGCCAGGGGCTAGGTGTATTTTTGTATTTGTATCTCATTGGATAAAGTAATTCAGAATTACTACCACCACTGTCACGGTGGTTATTTTACATTAAGGTTTATATTTTAAGCATGAAATAAGGCGAAAACTTGAGAATTTTCTAAGCAAGACCAAGCTCGGCTAAAAATGAAAATGAAAGACTAGTTGATAGATTATTGAAGCAAGTTGAACATTGTTGTTTTTTTTTTTTTTTTTAAAAAAAAGAATAAAACTTAAAAGCATGACAAAATTCAGACTAGGGCAAAAATTAAGCCTATTTTAAGCAGGAAATGAAGCTTAGATTTTTTTTTAATGAAATTTAGGAAACATTAATAACAGTCATTTCTAATTCTCACCGTGATTCTATTTTAAGCATGAAATAAGGCGAAAACTTGAGAATTTGCTAAGCAGGACCAGGCTTTGTTAAAATTTAGCTGATGCTTAAAAAAAAGAAAGAAAAGTGTAGTTGATAGCTGGTAGCTTATAATCAATGGGTTCCAAAGAATTCTGTTACTTCCAGTACATTATAGAAAATTGATGACAGTAGGCCCAATACAAAATAATATTGGAGAAAACCAATATCAGGTGACACCAGTCCCAAGTCAATGCCCACGTTGAAACACACAGGCACCTTGAACTCTATTCCCCCAAATGCGAGGACAATCGCACATATATTCTGGGGCAAACCTTCAACTGACCAATGTTAATCCATTCTGTGAAACTTTGATTTTGTTTAATGAAATTTAGGAAACATTAATAGCCGCCATTTTTAATTCTCACTTTGATTTTATTTTAATACACTGTTCAAACATTTTGGACCAACTACATAAGATGAATGTACAGAATTATTTTATAAAGAATTTAAGATTGTTTAGCAGTATGCTTTTATCACTGGTACTTGTAGGCTTTGAGAATTAACAAATAAGTTGTTTTGTAGGTGTCATGTAGAAGATACAGCACTTTAGGTAAATTAAAACTGAAAAAAGTCTGTGTAAAACTGTCATACCTGAACGTACCTATTCTATTATTAATAGACTCTCCCACACATAATAAGTAGTAGTAGTAGTAGTAGCGGTCGCCAGTTGAGCTCAGTGGTGTTGAGTGAGTCAGTCAATGTTGGACATTGAAGTATCAACCATCACAACTAGATCAAACGAAGCGCCATTAACTTTTATTTCAAGTTCCTAACGTTTTGTCGTCGAACCTAATTTAGGACGACTTAGTGAAATACAAGCCTCCACTGTGAAAACTACTCTACAACAAAAACTATCCGGCCAATGAAAGATTAGAGATGATAAAACCATGACAATATGCAAATTTTTAAGTAGGAATTATTCCATCTTATTAACATGAGCGTAAGATGCTTTAGTGTGTCAATGTATCTGTCTATATTTCTGAGGTATTGTAACTAGTTACACTATTTACATTGTTCTGACTGTTGTCCTCATCTTTATTGTCATATTCACAATGTTTTGGCCATTGTTTGCTCCAGCCTTCTTTAGGTTATATACGTTGGAATTTTGAACTGAACCCTTTATTTCACCCACTGGGGTAGTTTGTTCTAGTTCCACATGCCATGCCTTTTCTCAGTTTCAGTTATTTCTCATTAGTAACTCAATTCTCCAAGTTTTTGTTTACCTCTGCTGTGGCCAGGTATTGAACTCACAACACTGGATTATTTCAACCAACAATTCCATGTGGGAATTTCCAGAAACTGCCTTTCAAAAACAGTTGTAACCTAGGGAAGTTTACTGAATAGAATAATCAAATGAAGGTTGGTAATGAACGATAATACTTAGGACAAGAACAACACATATAAGATTCACCAGCAGTTCGTAGAAGTAGTCAACTGCTAGAAATGATTCAAGTGAATTTCACAATGAATCTCCAACTGCAGACCAACATACAGTATTTACTACTGTATTTATATGAATGGTGACATACTCATTATCGTCTGTAGGTATGCTACACCAACTAATAGATGTTTGCTACAACTCAACCGAAAATGTTTTAAGAAAAAGGGAAAAGGAAAAAAGAAAATCTGGCCTCCTATATGGCAGTGAACAATGGACAATCTCCTCAAAGATGAAAAAAGACTTGAAGCAACAGAAATGAGGTTCTACAGAAGGATTCTGAGAATACAATGGACTGAACATGTGAGTAACAACAAAATTATAGAGAAAATGGAAACAAAAAGGACATACTTAACATTGGGGAAAGACAATTGAAATTTTTAGGATATGTAATGAGGAAAGTGGGCTTGGAAAATCTGATACTCACAAGACAGACTGAAGGCAAGAGTGAGAGGAAAATAATGCATAACCTACTTAGTAAGCTTGAATAAATGGATGGTGGAACAAGGTTTAGGTGCGATAACAAAAAGACAAAATTTATTAAGAGCTACAAACGGCAGGAAATTGTGGAGAGCTATGATCACCAATGTTCTGAATTCAGAAGAAGAAATGGAGCACATATCTAATTGATTAATTGATTTGTTTTTACGGATTATCAACCTTTTTGAGATTACTTAAAGTCAAAACATATTTTTGGATTGTAAGAATATTTTGAAAATAATGATTTTCTGATACAATTTTTACTATTTAACCCATAGCTGGGAGAAGAATAGGTGGATTCATACCTCTCCCAAGGGTATTTGCATGTAAGTGAATGTAATGAATCTGACTGAAATTTGAACTCGGCTCTCTGATTTCTCATTCCAAGTCTTTATTCATTATACCACCCACACATCCAAGCTTACAGCACTTGGTATTCCCCAGCAGTCACCCATCTAGCTACTGACCATGTTCAACATTGCTTAACTTCAGTGATTGTACAAGAACCAATGTTTCAATGTGAAATTGGCTGTAAGCCATTTCATGTCTTCAAAAAAGAGTGCCTATGACTTACCGATTTATGAAAACTGTACATAAAGCACATCCAAGCTTACAGCAAGAGTGCCTATGACTTACCGATTTATGAAAACTGTACGTAAAGTATCTTCGTTGAATTCTTCACCCAGACGTTGACCAAAGGAGTAGATCTCAGCATTGTAATTCCTGAAAAGAGGATTGAAGGAAAAACAGATGTAAAAACTAAAGCAAAACATTTGACAGCACAAAAGACAAATTTTAATTTTTTTTAACAAAGTTCTTGAAGGATTAAATATCTCTTAAAGTTAGAATTTAGTTTCAAAGCATAGTCAATTAATGAAAGTGTTGGTTTGTTAATTTGGTGGCAGAATAATTGTGAGTTCAGTCCCCGGGCTGGGTAGTGCAGACAGACTCAGTAAAAACAAGACAAGCAATAAATAAACAATACTAAAAAACACAAGACAAGATATACCGAGACATGGACAATTGGATAAGAACAATCTACCTCCACAGATTAAATAAAGGTTCATCCTGAAATTGCCTGAAGGTTACCCAAACTGAAAGACACCTGAAGAAGGCTGGAGAGCACAATGGCTGAAATGGTGTGATAATAATAACAAAGATGAGGACATTAGTCTGAATCTAAATAATGATAACTCCTCATCCTAGAAATTCAGACAGAAGGCAATCAGGTGATAATAACAACAAAGATCAGGATATCAGTCTAAATGTAAATAATGATAATACCTCATCCCAGAAATTTAGGCAGAAGGCCATCAGGTGATAATAACAACAAAGATCAGGATATTAGTCTAAATGTAAATAATGATAACTCCTCATCCCAGAAATTCAAATAGAAGGTGATCAGGTGATAACAACAACAAAGATGAGGACATTAGTCTGAATGTAAATAATGATAACTCCTCATCCCTGAAATTCAAGATCCAAGAGGATTAAACAGTTTATTCATGATTTTGGTGACATCATAATTGTGAGTTCAATCCCTGGGCCAGGTACTACAGATTCAGAGGAAACAGGTCAAGCTAAAGCTGAGCAGTACTAAAAAAAAAGGGGGGGTAGATATCTCCAGGAATAGATAAGGCCAAAACAATAATCACAACATCAAAGACGAGGACATTAATCTGAATGTAAATAATTCCCAAAGTCAACAAATTATTTGTAGAATTTTATTTTCTTTGGTTCACTTTTGACATAGTGATGAACACCATTATTATTTGACCGCAGTCAGAGTCATTGAACCAATGCAAATGATCCTTTTTTAGCTGTATAGTATATGCTATACAGCTTTGAATTGTTTTTTTTTCTCCTAGACTAGCTACCACCCAAGGCTATAGAACCCAGTCTGTCCTGCTATTTACCCATAGCCAGGGGAAGAAGAGGATTCATACCTTTCATAAGTGAATGTAATGGATCTGATTGGAATTCAGACTCAGCTGATTCCTTAATCTGAACTGCTATCCATCGCGTCATTGAACAGATAGATATTACTGATTGGCTTGCTACTCCAACCAATATCGTATGAACCTTTCCTTCATATACCTGCTGTTTTTAACATATGTAGGTGGATCCACTCTTTATCCCTTGTTAGATGTATTTTGGGAGACAAAAGCAAATCACCCCCGACTCTAGGAAATGGTGGGAAAATGTTCATTCCTATATAAACTAGATATATCTATTTCCATATTACTCAGAGCCCCAAGCACACAGACAATTCTGAAAGTACCTGGAGGATGAGTTACCAAAAACTCACTTTGATAAGCAAAGAAAATTATATAGTGCTGGATTTTAAAGTACCTGAATGACAACAAGGCTTTCAGTCAAACTGATGAGGAATTTTTTAATTTCAGGAGGGGGAGAAAAAAAAAAGGCAATCTGGAAAACAAGGCACAGTCCCATAGGAAAATACTTCTTCAGTTTCTATGGACATTAAATGGAAAATGATATGTGTAATTCTAAAATTGGTTAGTTGGAGGTGGGGGTTGTTAAGCGGCATATCAACCTTTATACCCAAATCTAGATATTTTGTTTGCAAATTTTATGGCTTCAGCTATAAGAATTTGTAGATAATTTTACACTTTCAGTATATTTTTTAGACATATAGTAATAGTAAGTAGATGATGAAAAGTGTTGTCGGTAATTTTGTTTTGAAAATATATTGCTGGTAATTATTTTATATAACGGATTGTTAGTAATTTACTATAAAAATGTATTTTTATACTTTTTTAGTGTTGTATTGACTGTAATTTTCTATAAAAATGTGTTGCCAATTTTATTATAAAATGTATTGTTAGTAATTCTACTATAAAATGTATTGTTAGTAATTCTACTATAAAATGTACTGTTGATAGTTGTTTTTTATAAGAATGTATTGCTGTTAATTTCACTACAAAAATGTAGTGTTGGTAATTTTTTATCTTGCTAATTAACTTGGAGCGAAAAGAAGAGAATTCATACCTTTCCCAATGGTATTAGCACGTAAGTGAATTTCAGTCAGTTATGTGCCATGTGTGATACACGCTTAGGCAATCATACCTCTTTTGATACATGACTGATGAGGCAGATTTTTTCCCGCAGTAGGTTGCCATTTCTTTCAGTTGCCACCCAAGGCTATAGAACCCAGTCTGTCCTGCTATTTAACCATAGCTGAGGGGAGAAGAAGATTCATACCTCTTTTGATACATGACTGATATAGATTTTTTTTCCCACAGTAGGTTGCCATTTCTTTCTGCAGTAGACCAGTTGCCATCCAAGGCTATAGAACCTGGTCTATCCTGCTATTTGCCTAGCAGGAGAAGATGATGATTCATACCTTTCCCAAGGGTATTAGCACATAAGTGAATGTAATGGATTCAATTGGAATTCGAACTCTGCTCTCCAATTCCTCAATCCAAGCTGTTATCCATTACTCCACCATATAGTAAGTCTGTTCAGTTTGACAAGGTCAAGATGGCAGCTGATGTACAAAACGACTTTCAGTATGTTAAGTGGAGCAAAGGATGGCTTGTTAACTTTAACACCGCCAAAGCTAAACGGCTTTCTATTAGCCATCTGAGAGACCCTGTTTGCTTTCCATCAGCATATATGATGCTGACTTGTTGCACCTTTTTGGTCTAACATGAAGTAGATATATTGAACTCATTGCTAGGTAAGAAAGTTGGTTCACTGTGTCATGCTAATTTTTCTTTATATATCCAAAACTCTGCCATTCATGCATGCTTTGAATATTGCTGGTACATATGGTCTGGTGCTCCTGCTATTCATCTAGAGCTCTTTGATAGAATCTAAAGAAGAATCAGCAATATTAGTGGTCCTGATCTGGCAACTTGGCTTCAGTCCCTTTCCCACTGCTATAAGGTTGCCTCCCTTTGTCTTTTTTGTAAATACTTTCATGGTAATTGTTTAGATGAGTTCTTCACTATGGTACTAAGACTTTTTGAATTTAAGCACAGTACTAGATTGGCATCCAGATCTCATCAATTTACAGCTGAACTGGATAGATATAACTGTAAATTATATGTTAACAGTTTCTTTTCCCACACTTCTTGCTTGTGGGACTCTCTTCTGGCTCCATGCTTTCCAGCCAACTTTGATCTTCAAAAATTTAAATGCAATGTCAATCACTATTTACTGTCCTCCTGATTACTCTTTTTGTTCTCTCTCATTAGTATTTTTTCTGTTTTTAATTCTTCCACACCCAGTAATCTCTTGCATCTTAGTGGCTTTACTGCCTTGCTTGGAGTGAACTTGATAAAAAAAAAAAAAAAAAAGTAAATTGCAATATATTTTTTTTTTGAATTTTTTTTTAGCACTTTGTCATGCAGTTAGGAAGCTATGACATTGCAGTGAATCTAAACCTCATTGGGTACCCTGCTCTCATGGCCTTGTGCCAGGAGGCTAACCTGAACTTACCAACTGACTACGAATTTGGTCTTAAAAATACAATATCTAGTACTTTGTTTTTTTTTTTTACATTGAAGGAATAATGCACAAAGTTTTCTAAGTTGTTATTACTTAAAGAATGAAACAGAAAAAAATATAATACCAATTGCTCCATTCTGAGCGATGTCTTTCTTTATCAGGCCCAGCCCGCAGTCTCCTTTGGTACAATTCACAGAGATAGGGCCGCACCCATCTTTTAAAACCCCGACATCCAATGGCAGGAGCTGTAACTATTGAAAGATAAATCAAAAAAATTAAAATCGTGATAATTTGATTAAAGTATGTCAAATTAAACAGTAGAAAAGCGAGAGAGAGAGAAAGAAATAGATACTATGAGAATATGCCTCCAGTATACTGGAAAGCAACTGCTAAATTGATGAAGGTAAATTAAATTTTTGTTATACTCGAATAAAGTTTACTTTTTCAAGCATATATATTAAGTTGAGGTCCAAGTCCTTTCCATTTTTGGGAACCAACTGTATTATCATAATTATTAGTCGTTCGTAGAAGTTAAGCATAAATCTGGAGGACACTAACACACGGCAATGTTCAATGTAAACAGCATCTTCACAACTAACCATAAAAGTCGAGCTCCATGTAAAAAAGTTAATGAGGTGTGTGTGTGTGTGTGTGGTGGGATCATTGACGTATTATTCATTTACAGTTCTTAAAAGGCAATGAAACACTAAATGCACATTCAGCCCAGCAGCTGCAACATGTCTGTAAAAGCATTACTGATAGAATTAGAATGTGGCTATTATATGTATAATATAAATGCATTGCTCATGATTTACTATAGGAATACATTGAAAATCAAGAAGAAGGGGATTGTCAGTGGTCAAGAATGAATGCAAGCATTACTGATGGAATAGGGCTATCATATGTATAATGGAAATGTATAGCTAATGATTTTACTATAGGAATGCATTGAAATCAGGAAGAAAGGGATTGTCAGTGGTCAGTAATAAATGCAAGCATTACTGATAAAATAGGGCTATTATATGTATAATGAAAATGCATTGCTAATGATTTTACTATAGTAATGCTTGAAAATCAGGAAGAAAGGGATTGTCAGTGGTCAGGAATGATTGCAAGCATTACTGATGGAATAGGGCTATTATATGTATAATGGAAATGCATAGCTAATAATTTTACGATAGGAATGCATTGAAAATCAGGAAGAAAGGGATTGTCTGTGGTCAGGAATGAATGCAAGCATTACTGATAGAATAGGGCTATTATATGTATAATAGAAATGCATAACTAATGATTTTACTATAGGAATGCATTGAAAATCAGGAAGAAAGGGATTGTCAGTGGTCAGGAATGAATGCCATGATGTTGTTCGTAAATGTTTGTCAGTATTGCATTTTTTACTTTTTTTTTCTCTTTTATATATATATTCAAATTTGTGCATTTATGCAGCAATCCTTCTTTCATGCACATTTCATTGAATACGACAGACAAGGTGCTTTTATTTAGTTTTTTATACAATTTCTCATGCGATCTAATATTTTTTTCTTTTCGGGTGATAAATTATATAAAAACTGTCCGAACGTTCGTTTTATTCAAGCAATTTCGGCTATGCATTTAGCCATTTTTCAAAGATTAAATATTTTTACTATTAAAGAAATAGTTTGTTGTATGTATTTGTTATAAAATGCTTTTATTTTTCAAAACACGGTCAAGATATTGTGTGCATGTTCAAAGTTAATCTTATTAAGTGTTGGTTTTTTTGTTTTTATTAATAAGGCTTCCATTATTTTTAGCATTTTTTGCATGTAGATGATGCTATTATATTTGTGTCGTCAACAAGTATGTTATGAATAGTGTCTGGTAGGTCTACATGAATATTTAACGCAGACTCTCACTACACCTTTCTGATCATAGCTCAATTAGATCTCATTTAAATATTCATGGAGACCTACCGGACACTACCATCTCCACAACCCATCCCAAGGTAGTGACTTCAGTTTCGCTTGGACCTTTCAAGAACAGCCGCTAGATATCTTTGCCCTTTGTGAAACCAACTTGAATTCTTCCATTGTGACAAATAAATTCTTTCTTCCAGCATATTTTCCTCTTTGCTGAAATGATTCTAGCATTCACATGCATGGCCTTGGTGTATACATCTGGGATAATCTACCGATGGTCAGAGAATTGTTTCTCAAGGCTGCTGACTACTCTTTCGTATGCTTCCGTCTTTCACCACGAAACAGTCAGCTCTTTTTTCTTTATTGCTCCCCCTCTTCCCAAGACTGCAGTATATTAGATATAATAGTTGACAGTATAGAAAAGACACTTTCTCTCCAATCATCTGTGACTTTAATGCTCACTATGACATTCTAAAACATTCTAAAGGTAAAGTGCGGTGCATAATGATAAGGCCAGCTGAATTTTATCTTTAAACTTTAGCAATTGAGATAATTTTTCAATATTTTGTATATTATTATATAGTATTAATAATCTGAAAGTTTCAAATAATTGTTATGACTAGAAAATCATTTATTGTAAAATTATTCAAAAACTTGACAACGAATGTTTATCTAATCATAAATGGAAAAGGTTGCAATATTTCAGTGTGCTAAACCCTTGGAAATGTATGAATCCTCTTCTTCTCCCTCCAGCTATGGGTAAATAGCAGGACAGACCAGGTTCTATAACCTTGGATGGCAACTGGTCTACTGAAGAAAGAAATGGCAACCTACTGCAGGAAAAACATCTGCCTTGTCAGTCATGTATTGAAAGATACAAGATCGCTTAAGTGTGTATCACACATGGCACATAGCTGACTGACTAATTAACCCATAGCTGGGGGAAGAAGAAGTGGATTCCCAAGAGTGTTTGCATGTAATTGAACATAATAAACAAGGACTGGAATTGAAACTTGGCACTCCAGTTTCCAATTCCAAGCCATTATTCATTACATTATTCGTATGTCCAAGTTTACAGCACCTGATATTCCCAAGTAGTCACCCATCTAGGTACTGACCAGGCTCAACATTGCTTAACTTTAGTGATCATACAAGAAGCAGTCTTTCAATGTGATTTGGTGGTAAGCCCCATCCCCAAAACTCTTTTAGAACGATGCAAGGTACTTCTTTCGTTCTTCTTCCATAATCAATTTTCTGCAAGAGGCTGGAGATAATGTAACAGATCACAATGTAAAAGTTATCAACTATCTCTTGTTAATTTCCCTCTGAAAGTTCTCCTCAAGGACACATGGCACAGTGGACAAAGGCGTTAGTTAGATCCAGTGACAGAACCCAAAGAGTGTGAGTTCAATACCCGGTTAGAGCAGTGGAGAACTTTCAGGAGATAACTGACATCCATTAAACATGGCATGTGGAACTAGAACAGTCTACCCCAGTGGGTGAAATAAAGGGTTCAGTTTGACATTCCAACCACCTGAAGAAGGCCGAAGCATACAATGGCCGAAATGTTGTAATAAATATGGCGATAAAGATGAAGACAATAGTCCGAATAATGTAAATAATGAACAAAATACCTCATTTCAGAAATATAGACAGATAATGTGGCAAAGACTGCCACAAAAGGAAGAACCGCGATTTCTTTTGAACAGGATCCCTTGTTTCCTGTTTGGGATTAGGTTTCCGGTTTCTTCTAAAGTCTACTTCAACTCTATACTTCTAACGTTCCCATCTGAACTCTGAACTTTTATTTGCTAATTAAATCTTGACCTCTCCAGGTCTAGAATTAGCTATTTTTCCTGTTATCTTACCCATTCTTACACTAATAATTCTAAGTCACTTAATACAACTCCATACAGTAACCCTCTACCTTGAGTGGCCCTGGGCCTTGTATTAGGAGAACATCAGTATAAAAAAAGGATGCAAACTAGTAAACTACGAGAAGAATGTGCAAATATCTACCATGATTTAGTATAAAACATATTTCACTTCAGTTTCACCAGTGCCCAACGCTAACTTGGATGACATTAAGCATTGAAAATGATTTTCGAGAAATAACTTTTTTTATTTTATTTACAAACAGGGTTGTGGATAACTGAAATAATTTACCTATAACTACAGTAACTGCATCTTCTCTGAGTGTCTTTTTAACAAAAGATTGCAGAGTAGTGACACATAAATTACTTATAGACACTTATATCAAAACAAATATGAACGTCAATTGTTATTTATTTTAATTAAAATAAATATTAATTAATCAAATTCTTGTACCAGACTAATCCAAGCTTAGCCATTATTTCATTCATATTTGGAGAAGTATGGTTTTCATGAAAATCCAATATAAAAAAAGACACGTAAATAATGTTTTCGTAAATCTGAAACAATTTTTGTTGTTAAATTGTTCTTCCATAACTACCAACAAAAAACACGTGTTGAGATAAATTTATGAAAAAATTAAAGACATAACTTATCGTAAATACTCAGTACATTTTCTTCCAGGAAAAGGAAATGGAAAAAAATTACCTTGAGGAACCGCAGCTAAACCGTTTAAACGAATAAAAGAAGGAACTTTACGACCAGTCTCTCCTAAAACTCGTAAGGCCGCCATTTTTTTTATAAATAATTATGAACCGCATTTTCGTATTAATTAAAAACATAAAGAAACAAACAAAAAAAGAACAATTAAGAAATATATATCAATTAAAGTAATTATATTTTTCCAAATACCAAAACGAAACATGCCTTTGTAGTTTATTTATCGCGCATCATCTACAATAAAATAGATTTATTTACGAATAGCATTCTAGTCTAGCTTTAGTAGGTCACCTTGCCCATTTTTAAACAAGACAAAATGCGACTAACTGCACTCTGTTGTTATTTCAAGAGACATAGCCACATACCCGGTCATCTTTTAAAGGGGTAAGTTCTACAGATATTTACTGAATTTTATGTTTGTTTAACTCTTAGACGTTGTACTCGTGTAATACTTTTTAAAAAGTTTAGTGGGGCATAATGGGTTGAATTTTAAAATTACCTAAACAATGTCTTAAAAAAAAAGAAAATTGAAAAAGATGATTGAAATTCAACAAAGAAGCTCTGGAGTAATGAAACCATTTATTATTTAACTGGAACTATCATTGTTGAAAACGAGCACTTCTGTAAGAACCAACGTTAAAAAAAAAAGAAAGGGATTGTTAGTGGTCATCAGGAATTAATACAAGCATTGAAAATCAGGAAGAAACGAATTGTCAATGATCAGGAATGAATGCAAGCCTTACTGATAGAATAGGACTATTATAAAATGTAAAAAAAAAAAAAAAAACATTACAAATGATCACATTACACTTACAGGGATATTGTCGTCTAAAAATGAAAATAACACCGACATCTAATAATTTTAATACATATATTTACCAAAATTACACAAACCCAAAAATATCTTGAAAAAAGAGTAATTTTTTTTTTATTCAATAAAATCGCCATTGGCTAACCACGGCCTCCAGACGACTTTGGAATCTCTTGCAACTCTTTTGGACAGTCTCTTGTTTAAGTTGGTGAATGCTGCCATAATTTTTACTTTCGGTTCATCTTTGGGGTTTTGTTGGTCTTTTGCTCAACTCCGCCCCATAAAGGGAGTTGCCGTCCAGGTGTAAGGTGTGATGTGGCTGCAGAAATTGTCTGACAGCCATGACTGGGTTCTCTTGCTTGTGGCATGGTGCAGAGTTCTGTTGCCAGACATAGTCTTCCAGGAGCCATCCTCTTGACTCTACCCAGGGCAGCAATACCTCCTCAAGGCACTTGATGTATGCCTCCATGTTGAGTCTGAGGCCCTCACCAACAAATTTGGGAGTTCTTTTCTTTATCAGAATGATCAGAGTAAGTTTTCTGAGCTGTTGTACCTTCATAATCACCATTAGACTCATCCAACTCGTCCTGAATCTTCTACACTGTGCTCAGATTGACACCCACATCTTCTGAAATGTTCATATTGGAGCTTCTGGCACAAATGACAAGCATGCCGTTTCCAAATTTCTGGCAGAGTGAATTGCGTCATGGTACTCTTGTTTTTTTTTTTTTTTTTTTTTTTTTTTTTTACAGATGGTGCCCAACTGACACTACTTACATTGTGCAGTAGATAAAAAGAAAAACAAATCCATATGTATGAAATTGAAAATAAAATGGCGACAATTTACACATTGCAGCATGTATAGGAATGCATTGAAAATCAGGAAGAAAGGGATTGTCAGTGGTCAGGAATGAATGAAAGTATTACTGATAGAATAGGTTTGGTTTATTTTGTTTAATGGCATATCAACCTCAATGGGTTATTTAATGCTGACAACATTTTTAGGATAGATTCGTATGAATAGAATATGTATTCTTTGGTTTAGATTGGTTTGGTTTATTTTGTTTTACAGCATATCAATCTCAATGGGTTATTTAATGCCGATAAAATTTTTTTTATTGCTGGTAATATTTTGTTTTGTCAAAAATCTGTTTCTGGTAATATATTTCCTTCAAAATTGTATTGCTGGTAATAATTTTTTTCAAAAAAGTATTGCTGATAATACTTAACTATTTGCCCATAGCTGAGACCCTAACAGGTGCTACCACCCCAGGTCAGGGTGGACCTGGGAACATCAGCAATTAAGAGGTGGTTCCATGCTCCTCAAAACCTCCTTGCTGCTGGATACATTTTATTGTCATACACAGGACGCCATTATTATATAAAAATATTACCAACAATACCTATTCATAGTAAAATTGCCTACAATAAATTTTATCTGTAGTTGAAAGCATACAATTGCATTTAAAATATTTAGATTTTTAAATAGCTAATAGAGGTTGATATGCTACTAAATAAGACCAACCAAATCAATCAACAATACAATTTTATAGCAAAATGACAACACATTTTATGGTAAAATTGAAGATATGGCATACAATGTTTAAAAATAATTTTCTTTGATTAATCTTAGTCCTTGTAAGAAGAAACAAATTTTCACTTCTTGTTAGGAAGAATGGTACTTTATATCTGTAAAAATAAAATTTAAATATTAAAAATATGACTTACTCATATTTAAATGACTCTTTTAGAAAATCTCTGTATATAAAAATATGAATGAAAATGCCCAATTTTTTTTTTTTTATCATTGAAAACCCAGACAACTCACTGAATAACAGAAGTACATGTTTGTTAGCACCCCCCCCCACCTAAACTTAATCTGACTTTGTAAGTAACATATATTGAATACATAAGCTGTCTAGGGAAATTAAAACCTAACCACCCCCAAGTTATAATAGATTTTCCTTAACCTTACCAACTCATATTATCAATATTGTCTATGCTTATAAATTAAGTAAATTTCTTTAAAAGTTTATTCCTAACATCACTTGACAATGGAACGAGATTATGGAAATAAGTTTAATTTTTATAATTAAACTAGCATCTACTGCTAGTTTAATTATAAAAATTAAATTGCCCGGGGATGTAAGAGATAGATCAAGTATTGACCATTATAAAGACTGGAAAATTTTTTTTTTTTATGAATTGGTCAAACTCAAACAAAAACATTGTTTTCAATCATTGAGTCTACCAATTGAATAGAATTTTATTATAAACAATTGTCTTGTAAATGGAATTTTTAAAGCATTCTGAATGTAAAAATAAAGAAAAAAGTGTGCAAGACAATAAGAAACACTACCTGCCAAAAAAAAGTGAAGTTTTGTTGAAATCGGTTGAAAAATGTAAGAAATCCGATCCCATATATAAATGAACACACACACACACAAACAACCTGGGTTTTACAATAAGTATGATTTATAAATTTAGTTTCAGTTTCACGATGAAATCATATTTTTAAAAAGAAAATAATTATAATATATACGCACACACTATGAAAGGATGACTCTAGCAGAAAAAAAAAAGAAAGAAATATCTGCATTAATTATATTAGTTTGGTGCATTTCTGTTACTGACAAGATGTTCAAATTTCAAATCTAAGTTATTTGTACATTTAAAATACTACATTTATTAGAAAATATATTCAGTTTATATACAGGAGTCAGAAAAATGACTTCAAAGGGTCATACATTTTGGTGGGTGGGTGTATTGTCCTTTTGTTTTACCCAGGGGTTGTCAGACAGAAAGGAAAATTAGCCCTTGTGACATAGATGCCTGTTTTAGTTTCATTCAGATTATGTGTGCATGCAGAGTTTAATTCAATGACAGACCTAAAATATTTCTACCAAATTAAAAAGGAAAACTTCAAAAAAATAATTCTATTTATTATTGAATAATTTCTGAAAAGTTCTATAAAATCTGATAATTAACTGTTTTTTAGGGAGTGGGGGTTAAAGACTTTGAATTTATTGCTCAGCTCCAAGGTAGAGGTTGTCCAGACAGTGAAAAGAATATATCATTCCAATGTCTTGTTTTAGACTCAGTCAAATTGTGTGTGCTTTCATGTACATTAAATGGCACAGGTGCATATAAGTCACTCACACACAATGCAGACCTACATTAGGTAGGCACATGCAAGGTCATATGCAGGCAGTATGTGACAGACAAAGAATTTTCCTTTTTTTTTTATATATAGATTTCAAGCCAGTTGTATTTCTTGTGAGAATAAACCTGGATTTTATTGATTGTTCAAAAAAAAAAAAATCTTGCTTATCCAACTTATATATATATATATATATATATATATATATGCGTGGTGGAGTAATGGATAACGGCTCGGATTGAGGAATCTGAGAGCCGAGCTTGAATTCCAGTTGAATCCGTTACATTCACTTACGTGCTAATACCCTTGGGAAAGGTGTGAATCCTCTTCTTCTTCTCTCTCTAGCTATGGGTAAATAGCAAGACAGACTGGGTTCTATAGCCTTGGATGGCAACTGGTCTAGGATAAGGACAACTCTGAATTCAAAATCTGCGGAGGGTCGTTTGGGGACTTTGTGGCACGTAGTGCACCAGGTCTCTGTATTCAGCCCTTCAAAAAGTGTGGATGGTTCTGCACGAAACCTTCACCACTATAATCAAATCTCGTGCTGTTGTCGAGCTGTCGGTTTCCTAGGAACTGATCTGCTTGACCCTCATATGTCCAATTCGATGGGAGAGTTGAGTAGTGATATATATATATATATATATATATATATATATATATATATATATATGTGTGTGTGTGACAATATCCATAGTCTGTCAGGATTTAGACAACCTTTTTTCCTAATGGCCATATTCGAAATTTAGATATATTCACTGGGCCACAAAGGTACTTTAAAAATTTGCTTTTAAAAAGTTGAAAACATGAATATGAAATTTTAATAACAAATATAATTACAAAAAATACTGTATTATTGACAGTAAAAAAGGTAATTATAAATACACAAAATTCATTCAATATGATTTTTGACATTGTTTTCCTTTTATAATATTGTCAATATCTGCTTTTATGGTGCCAATCTTTATTCTAAGAATAATTGTTAAATAAGAATCACTCAACCTATTTCTTTTTAGTAGTTTTGATGTTTTTCATGCATGAAAAGAATTCTTCAAAGAAGTATGTAGTACCCCACATGCATAACAGTTTCCGAGATAAGCTA